CTCTTTTCCTATCTTTGCTGCCAACTGTGCTCATCATCTTATAGCTGTTCCTATTTGTGAGGACTGAGGTCAAAAAGGCATTAAATATTTTAGCCTTCTCTGCATCATCTATAATTAGACTGCCTTTTGCATTTTGCAAGGGACCTAAGGGTTCTTTGGTCTTCCTTCTACTTTTGCCATACTTGTAGAATTCTTTTTTATTGCCTTTTAAGACCTTGCCAGTTCCATCTTAATTTGGGATGTGGACATCTTAATTTTCTCTCCGCATGCCTATGTGCTGCTCTTATATTTTTCCTAGTACTATGACCAAGTTTCCGCTTTTTGTAAGATTCCTTTTTGAGTTTCAATTCATTGAAGAGATTGCTCTTTAGTCAGGCTGGTCTCTTGTTGTGCTTTCAGTCCTTTCATAACATAGGGATAGCTTGCTCTTGTGCCTTTAATAGGGTATCTTGAAAGTACTGCCAAATCTCCTGGACTCCTTTTCCTCTCAAACTTGCCTTAGACTCTCCCCTCAGACTTACATTCTACCCATGGATGTAAAATTACAAAAAATACTTGTAAAGTTTTACTTCACTTACCTCTACATTGTTAATCCATCTGATATATAATTTTAAAAAGGCACCTCTGTCATCAAAAATTACAGAAAGCTTTATATAGCTATACTACACTGTAGCAGAAAGCTAGACTGTATGGAAGTTTGCTTACCAGCTCTCCCTAATCATAAAAAAGACTCTATTATGCATTAGAGTACATAATGAAATATCATCAATAATTAAAAATAAGCTAAACTTGTAATAATGAACGTTTTGTGCAAGGTGCCACAAGCATTATGTGCAATCCTTGATTTTTTTTCTGTTTGTTCACCATTTGCTAATGTGCAAAACTGAGTAATTTACAGTGGATCTTCACTGCAAGTGTCAAGGTTTCACTATATTTTATTTAAGGTGCATTAAGGAGATTTAGGTGCACATCTATACATAGACATGCTAATGCACATTAAGGTGCATTAAATTCAGGTGCAAATAGCTAAGTCACGTTAGCACATGTGCAGATGCACTAATACACATTAACATGTTGTGTATCCATTGACGCACACTGTGTTAATGAGCATTAGACTGTCTACATGGTGCTAATGCGACTTAGCTATTTGTGCCTAAATTTGATACCTGCTTTATGCTCACATAGCCTTAATTCCTGCTGGGGGGGGGTGTGGTTCCTGCTCTTTGCAAAAGTGGGGTATCACAGGTTTCTCTGCTAAAAGGAGAAATTTGTGTTTTCCCTAATAAAAGGGGAAATCCATGGTTTTCTCCATGGGTAACAGAAAACCTGGATCCCTGGTTAACATAAAATGAGATGAGTAGGTAGTAAGGAAGTTCCTTACTACCTTTTGTTCCTTTTTAACAAAAGACAGTTTGGCCCCACACTTCAAGAGATGTGGACAGTTTGGAGAGAGTCCAACGCAAGGCAACAAAAATGATTAGGGGTCTGGGAAGCAAGATTTAGGAGGAACGGCTGAAAGAACTAGGGTTATTTAGCCTAGAGAAGAGAAGACTGGGGTGGGAGTGGAGATTTGATAACAGACTTCACATACCTGATGGGTGGTTATAGAAAAAATGGCTGTGGGGGACAATGTCCTCAAGCTACCGCAGGGGAAATTTAGGCTGGAGATTAGGAGGAAATTTCTGACTATGAGAGTGAACCAGCGCTGGAACAGGCTATCTAGAGAAGCATGACATTTCCATCCCTGGAAGTTTTCAAGTGCAGTTTAGACAGGTACTTGTAGTCAAGGATGATCCTGCCTTGAGCAGGGAGCTGGATTAGATGACCTCATGAGGTTTTCCCCAACCCTACTTTTCTATGATCCTATGAATGCCCCTTTGACAAGAAATTTTGTGTTTGTGATGAAGAGGAACAGGAGGGACAGTCTGTTTGTTTTCTGTTTTACAGGACTTCCTTATGTTCTGTTTCATTCTTTGCTTGCTTTTATTCCATATTTTTTCCTTCCTTGTCCACCCTGTCATACCTACCAGGGAGGAAAATGTTAAAGATATGAATAAGAATGCAAGAGTTTTGGGTTCATTTATGCTAAATTCAAGTGGTAAATTCCTGCATTACATGTCAAGCAATCATTGTTATGGTATGCTAGCAGGTAGGACTAAGTAGCTCTAAATAAGATAGGAAGGAAGTGGAACTGGTTGCTGTTGCGCCCAGATGCTGGTGCACCCTTGACCTGCGAGCCTGGGTCGGTACGACTGGCTTGGCGCGAGGGGGGATTTATGACCGGACAGGCAGGTGTTAATGGTGAGCAGGAGTCAGATAGTCAGATGATTTAAAGCGTATTGGTTACACAGAAAGTTTATTTTACTTACGCTACTGATGATTGATTGCAGCATAGGCAGAAGCAGTTGATTTCTTAGTTACAGCATGCATATGTTCTGTCACCCAGCAATTACAGTGGGTTGCAGACTTGCTGAGTACAGGTTTCAAACAGTTTACACAAATTACTATGGTCTGCAGATTACCGAGAGCTCTTGACAAGAGGGACGTACGAAAGATAAGATAAGATGAGAAGAGCGAGCCGGCAGGAACGGGGTTACGCCAGAAGAAAAAAAAATAAAACTAACCGGAGGCGGGGAGATATTGTTTGTAACTGATCAGGTTACAAGCTGTGTCTCTTGGGAATGCTCCAAGATCTCCGCTTTGGGCAGAAGTTCTTTCAAAGTTATAGAAAACAGAATAGCCAATTATTTCATGCCTGGCATGAATAATTAACAGGTTGGCATTTGTGCTTTCTTTGTTTTCTCAAGTTTCATAAAAATGGGGGTTATATTTTTGCTTGGGTGGTACTGGTCCTATTTGGTCACAAGAGGGCAAGCATAGTATATTATTTAATTTTACAATTCCGTTAAACTCAGCCAATTTGGAGTTTCATTTTTATCTGGTCACTAGGGGTACGGTATCTCTCTTTGACTAGGCTGCAATTTGTTCAAGGTTAGTTTCTCTCTCGTATGGGAGCTCAAGTGATTTGAAATGAGGCACAGATAGGGATGTGTGCATGCAGCACTGTTACAAACTAAAGAATAATAGTGTGAGACTACAATTACAGAGTTTGTTGTGTTAGCTTCTGACCTTTTGCCATCTGATCTTTTGCCATTGGCATCTGAAATCAAAGACTTTGATCTTTGACAGTTTCCTGTTCCAGAGGAGAGGTATTCAGGAAAGGAGTAGGATCAAATGCAGAAACTGGTATGATTGCCTGCCAAAGAGGGAATGTGTTTTGAAAATAATTTATGTCCTTTTAGCACTGCTTACCTTTTTCTTCTCCAAGAGAAAACAGGAGTTCCTATAGCCACATACAAATTAATCATATATCTTTTATCAACTCCTGTTCCAACCCCATCTTACCCAAATTTGTGCTTTCAGGGAAGACAAAGGCAAGGAGATGTTTATGGTCTCGAAATACTTAAAGAGCTGCTGTAATGAAGAAGGAAAATTTTCTCTCTTGCTGCAGAGACAAGCACATGGACCAATGACTTAAAGTTGCAGCAAAGTAATTTTAGATTCAATATCAGGAAATCTTCACTGTTAGAAGAGTAAGGCAGTGGAAAAACTGCCTAGGGAACTTGTAGACTCTTTGTCACTGGAGGTATTCAAGAAGAGGTTGGGCAGCAATAGCCATAGGTAGCTATGACCATGTTTGACAATGGGTATTTCACGTGTTCATGGGCTTTGCTGATTGCCACATGGGACTGGGAGGGGATTTCACTCCTCCCACCCTGCTTTCTACTATGTATCAGAGTTTTTTATTCATTTATTTTGATCTTCCTCAGAGGAATTGGGTGTTGACTGCAGTCAAGGCTGGGGATCTTGATTGGGATATGCCAGTCCTCCTTATGCTGGGACTTAAAGCTGGTTCCTAGCTAGAGGGTCTTGCCCCTCAACTCAGGGTCACCCCAATCACTGTGTTTGGATTCAGGAAGGAGTTTTCAGATTGGTCAAATTGGTCTGGACTGGGAGAGGTTTTGCCTTCCTTTGTAGCTGGAAGTGTGGTCTTTTACCTGGGATCTCTTGAGCATATATTCACCTTTTACAGGAGTGGGGCATTGGCTGCCATGATCCCCCTGCTTTATCTGTGACAGGTTAGGTGTTATGTCTTGTGTTGAGTCAGATTTGATGGTAGTTTTACTAAGCAGTTAGATTATGGATATGCATAGGATGGCTTGGATACAGATGATCCTGCCTCAGGCAGGGGTTTGGACTAGATGACCTATGGAGTTCCCTTCTAGCCCTACTTCTCTAAGATGCTATAATTCCAAGACTGATGGCTCAGTCTTTGCATCTCCAACAGGTATAGTTTTTAGATCCTTATGTGATACAGTAGTACCTTCTGGCCTTTTCAGTGAGTGCATCTCAGGTTGTAGATATTGCATTGCTTCTCCTTCTGAATCCAACTTTGTTTATATTTTGTATAGTAAATAAAGATACAAAGTTCCTTGGAATGGCTTTGCATAAATGTGATACTTACCCTTTGATCATGATACCTTAGGCATAAGACTAATTGGGCTATGTTTAATATTGCCAACAGGATTATCTCTTTTTTGATATTAGAGACTGGTTCAGGACTAAGAACAAGCAGAAGCCTACTGGAACATTTTTAAGTATCCTGCAATTCTCATCAAATAAAATAAACAACCAGAAAAAACAACCTTTTCAAAGTGTCCTCAGTATAAAAATAATTGCAATCATCTTAAAGTTCATTAAAGGCAAAGACAAGTTTGTAACGACTTAACATCATAAGACTAAATTATTATTTTATTAATAAACACCTAAAATTAATATTATGGGTTTTTCCCCATGTGGTTAAGGCTTTTGAATGCCACACTGGAAACCTGGTTTATCCTTTGTTCTAACATAAATTTCCTATGTGATGCTAGAAGGATCACATAAAGCAAACTTTTCATGACTATTAACTTTGTATTCCATATTTTCTGGGTACTCACCTTGAAACACCTGGGGCCAGATTTCCAGGAGATCTCAGTGCTCCTACCGAAGAGCTGATCATTGAACATAAATAATACTACAAAAATTTAAAGTACTTTGAATAATTAGATCCAAGGAATCCCATGGCAAGCACAAACAATTAATACATATTTTTTGGCTTAGTATCTCTGTGTCTTGCTGTCTTCCATCTGTAAAATTAAACATGCCTAAGCATGCCTCTCTGCCTCAGAGGGATGTGGCATGAAATGAAAGTTGTTAATAATTTAACTATCTTTTCATTGAGCGCTGCCTATCTTGTGCACTGATTAAGGAACGGATTCAATGGAAGTAATGCTCTGAGAATCCCATAGTTTGGCTGTAGCATAATGAATTCACAAGTGGGGTCAAATCAAGTTAAAATAAAAGATCTTAAAAGTTAGGAAATGCCAAAATTAATTACTTGATTTTTACAATGATATCATCATTTTTGTGTATATTCGTGTGGTATGTACTTACATTGAAAAGTTTTTTGCCAGTGTTTTAAGATTCTGTATTTTTATATACTGTTCAGTCAAGATAAATGAATATAATAGATAAATGTTCTGAAAACAAATTACTGGAAGCACTATATATCTACTGCAGCAAGGGACAAAAGAGTTTAAATGGCTTCTAATGCTGAAACAAGATGTAAATACACCCGTTTTCACAGTTTAGCAGCAGATATCTAAGAGTTCTTCTGTTTCTGGCTATCTTCCCACCACTGCCTTCTTCTGGACATTTCCTCCCCCACAAACAAACACAAAAAGTAAGGGGAGGAAGAGGAGGAGGAGAAAGCTAATGTTTGTGTCACACATGTCCTGTCATTGGATTTTTTTTTTACCACCCCAGTCCACCCTAAGTCTTCTGTGCTGGAAATAATTAGACCCTATGAACAAAGATGAAACAAAAATCTATACAATTCTGTTTGCCAAAAAATGAAGGCAGAGCTGCCTAATTAAGGTTGCATATGGAACTTTTTTTGGATGAATGGGCTTCCCTTTTTGATAAGCAGCTCAACAGCAGTTATGTCACCAGTCTGCTGTTAATTAAGTGGTGTTCACTGTATGCCTGTACAATTTCATGAAAAAAAAAATCTTGGGTAGCAACATCATTTTGTAGGAGCTCTGCAATTAAAAAGAAAAGTCTCTAAAACGTATTTTGTGGGTTCTATTCCAATGGCAATATTTTATTTTCTCCAATATAGCAAGTTCTTTATTTTTACAGAGCAGCACAAAGCATTATAGAAACCTTAATCAGTGAAAGAAGAACAGATGATATAAAGGATAGATGGGAAGGTTAAAGGCTGGATATGAAGAGAAGTGTCTCAGTGGTTTGCAGACAGGAAAGAAAATGGCTTCCAATGATTGGGCAGGATGGGTAAAAAGAGTAAATTACAATCCTGTCCAGTTGCAGGGAACCCATGAGGCATGGGGACCTGAAGAGGTGAATATAAAAACAAAGGACATAGGCCGAACAATTGTGATTTGTATCCAGAAATGGAGGATGGGAGACAGACCCTCTAGACCCTCCCTCTGCAAATAGCTGAGAAACTTCTCTGTTCCAAAGAGATGAGGTTAAGTCTACAGAACACCTTAAACTTTTTATTTTTTCTCACTGTACACATCAGTAGCATAACTTGGGGAAGGGGACAACCATAGCATCCCTGGGCACTGCCTTTTAGGAGAGGAAAAAAAGTTGGGTGGTGCAAAATAAGTGCTACTGCTGGCAGCACAGCATCCAGAGCTTCTGGATGCTCAGCCGCTACCCAGGGTGCAAAAGTTGCTCTTCTATGCCTCTGGTAGATAAATATAGGTGGTGACTAAGCACTCCCTGGCTGCATCCAGACAAGTATAGCCATCTGCAGTGCCACACACTGCACATTCAGGCATTCTTCATGGTGCTACCTTGCAGCGCAGGAGTGAGGGGAAGATTCTGGGGTTAAAAAAACCTGTTCAGGGAAAAAGGTGGGGCAGCACATGTGGAGGCAGTGTGTACTGCTGAAAACTGGAACCTGGCTGGCTGGAGTCGTGCTCCGGCTGCTGGCCAGGCTCCCAGCTGCAGGAACATTGTGTCTGCAGCTTCCCTGGCTCCCAGGGCCTAAGGTAAATCTGCTGGGGCCAGCACAGTTGCAGACCCAAGCTATCTGCCCAGTGCTGAGTTTCCCTAGTGACTGGACCAGCCCGTCCAAAGCTTCCCCAGTCTCTACTCTGCCTCCAGTCTCTTGCAAAGAGTATTTACACTAAGGTAATCTAGAGTGGCTTTACTTTAGTGTAACAGAAACTGTGTAACCCAGAGAATCCTGCCCCAGAGAGGCATAACTTTGATCTACATAAGTACTTAAAACTAGTTTCAGGTGTTAAAGTGTGGACAATTCAAGTGTTAAGAGCTCCAGGACCTGCGCAAATTTACCATGTAACAAGGCCCTAAATAATTTACTCAGAGTGGTATAGCTCCCTTCCATATTGGATGCAGGGCCAAGTACAAAATTGATACTCAATTATAATGATTTATATAGAATAATGAAACCCATATAAAAATTATGCTATTATGATCATTTTCATAGGTTTGTGTTTTCTGTCATGGGTGCATTTTACCCATTAATATGATGGTCAAATTCAAAATAAACTGAATTGTTTGACTGTTTGGCTGGACTTGAAATAAGCACATACATGTCTAGCATACTTACATTATTGCAATATACAAACAACGGATACATAGTAGAGCTGGAATGTATTATCTGAAATGGATTGTTAAGCATAACCCATTTGCAATGAATAGTGATTAACACATGAATAATAAAGCATGAGTACAAAAGTGTAATTCACAGTTAACTAGTTGTCCCTGTACTTTGGAGACCTTAAGCACATGGGCTTAGTAAACAAGCAGACAATCCCTTTAGCCCTCTCTTTCTGTTTTGTGGCACACTAGCAAGCTAATGGTTTGTAACGATATTTTTCTGGAATAGTGTTAGTGATTGCTTTTGCTGGTTTGTAAGTAGGGACCTACATAATTCACAATTGTGTAGATTTTGAAGATTCCACGAAATCTGGCGTTGCCTGTAAAATCCAGGCAATGCCTGCGTAATCTGTGGAATCTCTGAAGCTTGTGGTGGGACTTACTGAGCACTATAGTAGCTTGCTAGGGTGGGGAAG